CAGTGGCGGCCCAGGACCACGCGTCTACTTTCAGAGCCCCCCCGGGGCCGCAGGAGAGGGCCCGGGTGGCGCGGACGATGAGGGCCCAGTGAGGCGCCAAGGGAAGGTCACCGTCAAGTATGACCGCAAGGAACTACGGAAGCGCCTCAACCTAGAGGAGTGGATCCTGGAGCAGCTTACGCGCCTCTACGACTGCCAGGTGTGTTCCCACCCCGCGCCGACACCCCAAAATCGGTCTCGAGCCGGTCCGCCTGGGAGCCCCACTATGAGCTTGCCTGTCACCGGAGTCAAAAGGCGCTCTGCTTCCCTGCGCGCTCCCCTCCCCTCTGCACTCCCTGCCCCCAATATATACTCTTTCTTCCCTGACCTAAGTCACTTCTATCTTCTCCGCTGCCTCGGACCCTGGCCCCCATTATGCCACTCCCCGCGTCCAGCTTAGTGTCCTCCAGAAGCCTCAAGGGGTGGCCTGGGCCTTGAGCAAGAGGCAAGGGGGCTAGTCTGGGCTGGCAGCGGCAGGAGGTCTCACCGCCTGGTGCCCACTGGCTTAGACTGTGGTTACACGGGGCTGGTCTGGTAGGCGACTGGGGCTGGGCTGTTCTGTGGGCTAGCCTGGAGCTCCATCTTGGCGTGCGTGCAGGCTAGCCCGCTTTCTGGGCTCTGCTTCTCCACCCCCATGACTCCCTGGTTGTTCAGACGGTGACTCAGGCCCCGGGGGGCAGGGTGGAGGAGTGGGCTTGCCTGGTGCTGCCTGCCTACCCTAGCCCAGCCCTGGAATGCAGCTGACTACAAACAGGATAGGGGCTTCCTGCGGAGGGTGGGGCAGGGTGGTGGGCACCCCTCCCTCACCAAAGCATGGGCTCTTTGTTTCCTCTTTGCCAGGCCTGGGTCCTTCCCAGTGACCCCTCAGCCTTCACTTCCTCCTCACTCCCGGGGAGCTGTGACAGGTGTTTGGGGGAGGGGAGGGGGGCATGATAAGCTGGGACAGCTGCACCCACCGGTGCTCTGGTGAGATGGGGGGCCCGGATGTTGGGGAGAAACATCTGCTGGATTCCCAGCCCAAGGTCCCCAGCCCTGGCTGTCTGGCCTTGTCTGGCACCCCCGGTGCCCACTGGCAGGGACAGGAAGCTCCCCCCCCACTCTGCTTTGGGCAGTTTGCCTTGGCACGGGCCTGATCTGTTTTCCTCCTCAGAGCAGCTGCCGTTGTGTCTGCTGGGCAGAGGGCCGGGTTCCTCAGAGGTAGGCAGGGGCCTCAACCCCTCTCTCCAACTCAGGCTCATGTCTCTCCCTCCTCCCCCACCCCCACCCCAGGAAGAGGAGATCCCAGAACTGGAGATTGATGTGGATGAGCTCCTGGACATGGAGAGTGATGATGCCCGGGCTGCCAGGGTCAAGGTGAGGGGGCTGAGGGGCAGCGGGTTGCCTGAGGCACTGCCCTGGGAAAGTGAGGCTGTGGAGCCAGGCCCTCAAGCCTCAGCTCCTGCCTCAGCGGAATGGGGCCAATGCCCAGCTGTGAGGTGGTTGTGGCATCTCCTGTGCCTCAGGGTGGCCCCAGTCCCTTGGAAGTCGGTAAAGGTGAGCTCCAGGCCCCCACTCCAGAGGACTCACTTATCCCTCCTCCCCTATCCCCTGCTAGGAGCTGCTGGTTGACTGTTACAAACCCACAGAGGTAAGAGATTTCCCCGGGGGGGGGGGAGGGGAGCCTGGCTCCTGTCGTCTAGGGGTTTGGTCTCCTTAATGTTTATCCTCCCACCCAGGCCTTCATCTCTGGCCTGCTGGACAAGATCCGGGGCATGCAGAAGCTGAGCACACCCCAGAAGAAGTGAGGGTCCCCGACCCAGGCGAACGGTGGCTCCCACAGAACAATCGCTGCCCCCCGAACTCGTAGCAACAGCAACACCGGCGAACCCTGCAGCCAGGCCTGGTGCCATAAGCAGGGCTCCTCGTGCCCCTGGCCCAGGGGTCTCTTCCCCTGCCCCCTCAGTTTTCCACTTTTGGGGTTTTTTATTGTTATTAAACTGATGGGACTTTTTGTGTTTTTATATTGACTCTGCAGCGCGGGCCCGTTAATAAAGCTAGGAGATGCCTTTGGTGCAGCTAACAGGCTCGGCTGGTCTCTTAGGGGGCACCCTGCTCTGTGACTTCTGCCAGCTCAGCTTCTCCCCAGGTGACCACAGGCCTTCCTGAGAGCCATGTAGCTATGATGATAGCCCAGTGCTGGCTCCCAGACCAGGAGCTGGAAGTGGCTGGGGAGCTGTGGGGAGCAGTGCTATTGCTGCTGGCAGGCAGGAACACTCCTTTTTCTCTGGGCAAGGGCCACCATGTCCATTGAGCCTAGATCCCCAAGGCTCCACAGTCAGGAAAAGAGAAGGTGGTGGGGTATGCCAGAGCTGAGGTCTCTGAGTTTCTAAGGGCCCACAAACACACACAGGCTTACTCCTTGGGCTTTTAAGTTTTTTTGTTTTTTTTTGTTTTGTTTTGTTTTGTTTTTGGAACAGTCTGGTCCCTGATGGGGGCCTCTCCCCCTACCCCTCCCCAGTCTGGTTACAGCTCAGATCGTCGCTCGATTTTGAGCAGCTCCACCTCGAACACCAGGGTTGCACCACCTGTAGGGGAGAAGGGGAGTCAAAAGGCCAACCAGGGCCACAGGGAGGTGGGCTGGCTGCAGGTGATGGGGGGCGTCAAAAGGTTTACTACCTGGAATCTTTGGGGGAGCTCCCCGCTCTCCATACCCTGTTGAAGATGCACAAAGAAACAGTCAGTGACGGCCAAGCTCCCTTCCAGCTTCGGCAAAGGGAAGGTGTTCTGCCCCTCTCAGCAAGAAGGCCAGAAATGAAGGGTAATGGAGATGGGAAGGGGGTGCCAAAGGCCTGGCAAGGGCAGAGTTGGGCTGCTACAGCTGAGTGCTTCAAGGATCTTGCCCTGTACTCACTGCTAGACAGCCAAACTTGGAGAAGGCGTGTATTGTAATGAATGGATATGGTGAAGACCAATGAAAGGCTGAAGCAGCTTTCACCCTTCCCAGTCACACACCGCAACCTGCTCTGCACCCTCAGGAGGGGCCTCTTACCCAGCTCAGACGGGATCACCAGCTTGCGCTTCTCCCCCTCACACATCCTGCAGGAAGACACATGCTCAGCCCATGGCAGCACCCAGGGCCTCTGTCTTGTATTCTTGGGGCTTGCCTCCCACAGCTTACCTCCTGGGCAGTGGCCATGCATGCCCCCGCTCCCAAGCCCATTCCCCCATGACTCACCCCAGCAGCCCCTGGTCCCAGCCCTTGATGACCTGGCCTGTGCCAAGGGAGAAGACAAAGGGCTGGTTCTGGGGCAGGCTGCTGTCAAACTCTGTCCCATCTTCCAGCTTCCCCTGTGGGACCAGGAGAAGGCCAGTGAGGAAGAGGGGACCACCCCAGACGTCCCCCTCCCTCAGCTGCTTTCCCCATCAAGCTGGCCCCCACAGCACTGGTGGTCAGTCCTTTTTGTTTTTTGAGATGGAGTCTCTGTTGCCATGGCTGGAGTACAGTGGCATGATCTTGCCTCACTGCAGCCTCTGCCTCCTGGGTTCAACCAATTCTCCCACCTCAGCCTCCGAAGTAGCTGGGATTATAGGCACCTGCCACCACCCCCGGCTAATTTTGTATTTTCAGTAGAGAAAATTTCATCATGAGGCCAAGCTGGTCTCAAATTCCTGACCTCAGGTGATCACGTGCCTTGGCCTCCCAAAGTGCTGAGATTACTGGGGTGAGCCACTGTGCCTGGCTGGTCATAGTGTTTTAAGAGGACAGAGCCTTGGGCAGCTCACAGTATACTGTCACTGCCTGCTGGTGCCCACCTGGGCAGTAGGCAAGGGCAAGGCAGAACCATGGAAACTGGCTTAGAGGGGAGAGGGGACTTGTCCAAGGTCATCTACCTGGCTGATGGAGAACCAGACTCCCAAGCACTTTCTGGTCCTCGGAAGCCCCATCCACTTCCAAAAGGCCCGCCCATCCCACTCACCGTGTAGTGCATGTGCAGGACATCCCCTTTACGCGATTTGATGGGACAGTGGTCCACCCGCTTCTTGACCCCGATCTGCAGCTTCCTTTTGCCCTCGGTCCCCGTGGCCGTGGCCACGGCGCTCAGGCAGATGGACAGTACTGTCAGGACCCGGACCCAGCTCAGCCTCATGTTTCTGTGGGCACAGACCCCGACCGACCGACTGAACGTGGGGGAGGGCAGGGAGAATATGGAACACGGGTAGGTAACAGGAGGGTTCCACCACCACTGCATCTTGCTTGCCCCGGGGAATCCCCTTTGTCCCGGGTCACCGCCCTCTCCCCCGGGCTCCGGGGCCACACTTACCAGTCCAGTGAGAAGGGGGCTTGGCCGAGGACCCCAGCAGCGGGGGGAGGGGGTCAGGGGAGGCCACAGCAGCCAGGGCCCCGCCCCTTTGCTCACCCCCATACCTTCCCTCCCTCCCGGTCCCCACCTCCGCTCTTCAGTTCCCGCCTGTCCCTTTGCGTAAAGTCCAGACCCTATCTGGCTGCACTGCAGTTGCCCCGACTGGGCGGTCCCACTCACGCCACACCCAGCTGCCCCCGGCCCAGCACACCCACACCTCTGCGGCCGCTGCCGGGGGCCGGCCCCGAGGCACCCACACATCCCCGCTGGGTGGCTCCGAGGAGCCCGGGTCCTCGGGAGATACCCCCCAGCCTGGTCCTGTGCCTCCGCCCGAGGCGCCGCCCCAACTCTGAGCCCTTGGGGGTCTCCGGGGCACCCAGACTGGCCCTGTGTCTTCTGGCCGCCGGGCCCGCTCCACCCACACCACCTCTCCCGGTGGAGTTCTCGGCCTACCGCGTCCCCAAGCCCGGCCACCACGGAGACCACCCCCGCGAGGACGCCCGGGGCCATTACTCGGGCCAGGCTCCTCCCTTGACTCCTTGGCACCGCCCTTCGAAGGACGCGGTGCCGCCCCCGGGCCTGCAGCCCCGCCTTCGACAGAACTAGACCCTTTTTCCGGAGCCGTAGCCACGCCACTCACCGGCTGAAGCCCCGCCCCCAGCGCCTGCGCTCCGTCCCCCTCTGCTTCCGACCCTGAGGCTCCGCCTTTCACCTCCTCCAGCTCCTCCTTCAAGAGCCAGGCTCCGTCCCCCGACCTTCCTAGCTCCGCCCCCTGCCGCCGGGCTCCGCCTTCCACTGGCACCAGCTCGGAGGTCCCACCCGTCCCGGTTCCACGTCCCGCCCCGAGTCCCAGGGCTCCGCCCCGTGCGGCGTGAGAACCCTCCCCCTGCGGCATCTCCGGACAGCTCCGGCCCCCACCCCCAATTTCCTAGTCACCTAGCTCTCGTTGACACTCGGAGCCCGGTCCGCTCCTGCCCGGCCTGATCCAGCCTGCCCTCTTGCACCCCGGCTCCCCCCAGCCCGGGCTGTGGCCCCCGCTCACCTCCTCGCCGCGCCCCCGGAGTCAACCCCGGTGGTGCTACCGCCTCTGCGCAGGCGCGTCCTTGTCGCTACCAGGCCGGGCCACGCCGCCCTCCCTCATTGGGCCGTGCGAAACCCGCGGCCACACGCCCGCTGGCGCGGGTCTTTCCCTAGCCCCGCCCCCACGACGGCGCTGCTGCGCCACTTCCGGCGGAGCGGTAGTCTGTAAGGTTAGGTGAAAGTGACTTCCGAAAAGGCCGGAGGCACTTCCGGCCGAGGTGATAGTAAGGTCAGGCCGGCGTGGGTTCCCGGAGGGGGTCTTGAGGCGCCATTTCAAGTCGCCTCCAGCCTCTCCCACAGCACTCCTGTTTTCCCAGGCCTCATCATAGCCCACAGCCCTCAGTCGCTGTGGAAAGAGCCTGGGCTTCACAGTGACCCTCAGGTTTGAATTACGGGTCGGCTGTGTGCTTGGTGGAATTTGTCATCCAACACAGGCGTGTAACACGGGCTTGATGACACCCAGCCCACGGGATCCCTGCAGGACCGAGATGATGTTCAGTGCCAAGCCCAGGCTTCCAGCCAATGCTCCCACGCACATCTCTCTCCCAGGAGCCAGGCTTACCTCTACCTGTGCACCTGGGCTGTGACTCATGACTGGAATGATCTGGCTGGGCCTGTTCCCCCACCAGACTTATTTTCAGGCGCCCCAGCAGCCACCAAACATCTGTCAACTGAAGTAATGAACCTGCGGTTGAGAGGCAGCTAAACCTAGGTTGAAGGTTAGGGAGACAGCCGATTTGAGGTCAAATCCCCCGGCCAATTAGCCTTTCTGAGCCTATTTCCTCAATTGTAAAAGGAAGATAATCATGATGCTGACCTCAGAATTAAGGAGGAAGTGAGGAGGTGCATGTGAAGCATTGTGCCTGTCTGGTGGGGCTGACTGGGCTCTGGAGGTGGTAGCTCTTTGGAGCCCTAACCCTCCTCTGCCTCATGCTAATTGACCTATGGCATGTCTAGTGACATCATGACTGAGAAAATGATTTGAAAGTAGTAATCGCTGTCAGGAATTGTCTGCTGGTTCAACCCACTCCTGCTTTAGGCCCACTAAAATCATACCCACATGCTCTGACCCAACACCTCAGAGAAAGCCTCCATTAGGGTGGCTGCCCGCCCCGTCCCGGTGGCTGCCCAATTGAGTTAACTCTGCCCCGAATGTCCTGCCTCAGCAGGCAAAGCACTGGTGCCCAAGGTTGGCCTTTCATCCACCCCAAACCACTCAGCCCTGGGCACTGGAGGCTGCAGGGAGAAGGGTGGGGGCTGGGCTTGGGCTGGGATAGACAAGTCAGGAGAATCTCAGGCAGCAACTAGTGAAGGGAGCTGCAGGGTGCGAGGGAGGTGAGGGTGGAGAAAACTGTGTGGGTTGGGCGGGCGTGGTGGCTCACACCTTTAATCTCAGCACTTTGGGAGGCTGAGGCAGGTGGATCACCTGAGGTCAGGAGTTCCAGACCAGCCTGGCCCACATGGTGAAACCCATCTCTACTAAAAATACAAAAATTAGCTGGGCGTGGTGGTGGGCGCCTGTAATCCCAACTACTTGGGAGACTGAGGCAAGAGAATCGCTTGAACCCAGGAGGTGGAGGTTGCAGTGAGCGGAGATCGCACCATTGCACTCCAGCCTGGGCGACAGAGTGAGACTCTGTCAAAAAAAAAAAAAAAAAAAAAAAAAAAAAAAAAAAAAAGGAAAGAAAAAAAACTGTGTGGGTTGGTTTGAGGGGAGCCTGCCGCCCAAACCAGGCCCACCAGCCCCAGACCTTTGGTGCTTCCCTTTCAGGGAAATGGGAGTGAAGTTAAGACAGGGCAGGTACCGGGGCTTTAGATTCAAGCTGCAGGGAACAAAAAGCAGCAGATGCTGAAAGGGCTGCCTGGCAGGAAGAACAAGTGTTTTTTTTCTGTTATGTAAAGATAGTCTCAAACTTCTCTGAGACCCGAGGATGCCAACCATAGCAATCTTCTGTTCCCTCTATGTGCACATGTGGAAACTGCTGCTCAGAGAGGCAGGGGTAGTGACAAGCAAGGTCACTCAGCAGATCTGGGTCCTACCCCAGGCTCTTTGGCCACAGAAGGTCGTCTCCTTCCAGAAAAGAACCCCGGTGAAGAGGAGGAGGGCAGGCTGTTGACTGGGCTCTCCCTGACTCCCATGCCTGGCAATAACATGAAAGTGATGAATACATAATTCTGGCCCTGCCTGGGATCTGCTGTGGAGCCTTAGTCCTCATTTCTTCCATCTGCACGACGAGGGAGCAAGACAAGCTTTAGATTTAGTGATGTAAACATTCATGCCCAAACCAGCCAGCCTAGACAGTGACAAACAGTGACACAGGCAGGGACAGCTCCTTCCATCTCTTTTATCAGGGTTGGGGGATCACAGTTCTTGTACCAAAGCCCAAATCCTATTATGCAGAGATTTGGGTCTTCTTAGTGAGGGGAGGAAGAGCCAGTTGTAAGATGCTTACTTGCACAGAGTGGTTAGAAACTGAGACAGTACCCCATTCTCCCCTGAGCTGGTATATGACCCCTCTTGCTGCTTCCCAGTCTCCTCTTCCAACTCTGTCCTGTTTGATGATGGCCTCAGGGAGACAAGGGATGGCAGAAGAACCCTCTGAGAGGCCCAGGTCCTGGAGCAGCTTCTGCCTGGGCTGAGGTCTTGGGGGCTTGGCTGTTTTTTACCAGGCTCCTCTTTGTCCCCGCACTGGGATATAGCCTATGAGGCAAGTCACCCCGCTGAGTCTGAAAAGGCATGTGTCACCTTCGCAGCTTCCGGCACCTGAGGAGGGAGGAAGTGATCTGTTCATGCTGGCTGGAGCGCAGCCCCAGCCCTGGACTCACGTGTGCCTCGGGCCCACTAAGATCACAACCTGAGCATCCTGCCGCACCACTCGGCCCTGGGCACTGGAGGCTGCAGGGGGAAGGATGAACCTTCTGTGAAGGCCATCCCCTCCTGACACTCCTCGGGAGCCCCCACTGGCCTGGCCCATATGATGTCACCCCATGGCCTCACTGCAGGAGAGAGGTGGTGAGAAATACATCAGATAAGGTTGTACGAGGGTTCCACTATGTCCTCTCGAAGCCCACAGGTAGGGAGATGTCTACCACAGGGGCTTCTGGGAAGGCCCGAACTGCAAGCTGGAAAAGCTATGTCCCACATTTCTACCCCAGGCAGATGTCACCTCCTCCAAGAGATCTCTGACCTCTGAAAGATGAGGCCAGGTGCCCCTCACCACAGCCCTTGACATCCTCTGCTGGCATCGTCCCTCCTGTATCTGACTCCTGAGTTAGAATGTTGGACTTGCTTACATAGCTCCAGGTGCCAGCAGCTGCTTGGTAAATATTTGTTCAACACATTCAACAGTTTCCCCTTCCCTGGCCCTCCTCCTACTGGCAGGCTCACCCTGGACCTGCTCCAGGACAGGACCTTGGTGCCTTCCCAAACAAACACCACCCTACAGACACCTCACCTGCAGGTGTCTGGGTTGAGCTCTAAGCCCCGCCCTTGGCAACGGAGGAAGCTGCGGCGTCGACAGCGGCAGCGGCAGGTCCGGGGGTCAGGGCGCTGGTGGCGCTGGGTGCAGCGTGGGCAGAGGGTCCTGGGGCTGGAGTGGGATGGGTGATGTCAGCTGGGGAGGGTGCTCCGGGGGCAGAGTCCCAGCCCGGAACAGAGCGGGGCTGGGGACGGTGGTGGGGAGTGGCAGCCCTAGGGAGGAGAAGCGACATGTCTGGGGTGGGAAGGAAGAGTCTTCCCTGGAGCTGGGGTCGGGACAGAGAACACAGGCTTGGGGAGCAGAGGAAAAGGGAAAGCGGGGGACAGGTGGGAGGAGAAAGAGGGGCAACAGCTTCCGGACTCACTTGTACTCCCCCTGCCCCCACTCAGCTGGAGTCCAAAAGACTCACCTGTCCGGCTTCACAGCACTGTCCTTTTTTTTAGGTCTGAAAAATTAAGAGAGATAGACACAAAGAGGAGGAAGATCAGGAAATCCCAGCATCCTACTCTCTCTCTGTCTTTTTGAGACTGAGTTTCCCTATTGTTGCCCAGGCTGGAGTGCAGTGGCATGGTCTTAGCTCACTGCAACCTCCGCCTCCTGGGTTCAAGCTATTCTTCTGTCTCAGCCTCCCAAGTAGCTCGGATTACAGGCATCCGCCACCACACCCAGCTAATTTTTGTTTTTTGTTTTTTTTTTTTTTAGTAGAGATGGGGTTTCACCATCTTGGCCAGGCTGGTCTTGAACTCCTTACCTCAGATGATCTGCCCACCTGGGCCTCCCAAAGTGCTGGGATTATAGGTGTGAGCCACTGACCCAAGCATCCTACTTTGTTGCCCCAGATCCAAGGCCTACCCTTGGCTCTACTCTTAGGAACCTGGTCCCCAGTTCTGTGGACCACCATACCCAGCACCCCCCCAGCCTGGCCTCTGTAAGCTCAGAATTTGGGCCTGGCTGGCACCTGCATTCACACTGGCTGTGTTCTTCCAGGGACATCTCCCCCAGCTGACTGCTCGGGTACCGGATCATGAGGATCTGTGCTCAGAAGAACAGGGGGGACAGTGAGGGAGAGAGAGAAAGGGGATGCTCTAAGGCTGGAGGGAGAAAAGCTCACCCAACAGCCAGGAGGCTGGCCACCAGCCCTCCCCCCAACCCTACCTCCTGTGCCTCAGTCTCCAGGCTGCCCCAGCCCCAGAGCCAGCCAGCATCCACCCTGCCCACTGCCCCACCTGCCCAGTGCCTGCATCCCCTGCCCGCTGCCCCACCTGCCCAGTGCCTGCATCCCCTGCCCGCTGCCCCACCTACCCAGTGCCTGCATCCCCTGCCCGCTGCCCCACCTGCCCAGTGCCTGCATCCCCTGCCCGCTGCCCCACCTGCCCAGTGCCTGCATCCCCTGCCCGCTGCCCCACCTGCCCAGTGCCTGCATCCCCTGCCCACTGCCCCATATGCCCAGTACCTGCATCCGGACTTGGTGCTGCCCAGTGGGCACACACTCCAGGCCATCATCAGGGCAGCAGCCACCACAACGCTGCACGGTCACGCAGCTGGGCACCAGCTGTTTGGCCACGGTGCCCATGAGCTCCACAGTCAGGGGCACCACCACCTCCCGGGGCTGGCAGGTAGCGCGAGTATACACATCTATCCATGACACCACTGGGAGCAGACCGGTAGGGGTTAAGTCCTCACTGTTTTTCCTGCAGCTGCTCCCAGCAGCTGTCCCCCCCAGTCCCCAAGTCACAGCCACCCTCCAGTAGCCCTCCCCACTCTGCCCTCACAACCTGTCTTCCCCTGCCCTGTTTATCCAGATCCCAGTAACCCCGCTGCCTCAATTTCCTCCTCTGTGAAATGGGTAGAATAACAGTTTGCATATTCTAGGGAAGTTATACAAGATGATGGACACCAGGCACCTGGAATCAGGGCCGATGACAAACCCTCTCAGTGCTGGCTAGTGCCGAGTTTTTATGAGTATTACCTTTCTTCTGGTGGCCAGGAGCATCAGGCTGGGAGACAGGGGCCTGTGGGAGAGAAAAGACCTGTACCCAAGGTACACTTTAGGAGGGTCTTTCCCTGTCGCCATCCCTGGGGCTTTGCCCTTGCATCAGGAGGCTTCACCACCTCTCTGACATCTTTCCAGATTGCTCTGTTCCTGTGGCCACTGCTCTAGCTTTACCTGTCCTTTCCTGGCCACCCCGGACCTGCCCTGGCCCAAAACACAACAGGTGCTCCGGCGGCCTCGTCAAATCTCCAGGCCGCAGAACCGAGCATGTCTGGGGGCTGCATGCAGATCAGGAGCGCGCACAGTGGGCACCGAAGCAGGTCCTGCGAGCACTGAGGGAGCCCCGCCCCCGGCGGTGCCCAGGGGACGGGGTGGGGCGGAGGA